AGTTGGGCCTCCTTTGGCCTGTATTACTGCAGCAATGCGGCGTGGCATGGAGTCGATCAGTCTGTGGCACTGCTCAGGTGTTATGATAGCCCAGGTTGCTCTAATAGTGGCTTTTAGCTCTTCTGAATTGTTGGGTCTGGTGTATTGCATCTTCTTCTTCACAATACCCCATAGATTTTCTATGGGGTTAAGGTCAGGAGAGTTTGCTGGCCAATTAAGAACAGGGATACCATGGTCCTTCAACCAGGTACTGGTAGCTTTGGCACTGTGTGCAGGTGCCAAGTCCTGTTGGAAAATGAAATCTGCATCTCCAAAAAGTTGGTCAGCTGCAGGAAGCATGAAGTGCTCTAAAACTTCCTGGTATGTGGCTGCGTTGACCCTGGACCTCAGAAAACACAATGGACCAACACCAGCAGATGACATGGCACCCCAAACCATCACTGACTGTGGAAACTTTACACTGGACTTCAAGCAACGTGGATGAAGTGCCTCTCTTCTTTTCCTCCAGACTCTGGGACCTTGATTTCCAAAGGAAATGCAAAATTTACTTTCATCAGAGAACATGACTTTGGACCACTCACCAGCAGTCCAGTCCTGTTTCTCTTTAGCCCAGGCAAGACGCTTCTGACGCTGTCTGTGGTTCAAGAGTGGCTTGACACAAGGAATGCGACAGCAGAAACCCATGTCTTTCATACGTCTGTGTGTGGTGGTTCTTGAAGCACTCACTCCAGCTGCAGTCCACTCTTTGTGAATCTCCCCCACATTTTTGAATGGGTTTTGTTTCACAATCCTCTCCAGGGTGTGGTTATCTCTCTTGCTTGTACACTTTTTTCGACCACATCTTTTCCTTCCCTTCGCCTCTCTATTAATGTGCTTGGACACTGAGCTCTGTGAACAGCCAGCCTCTTTAGCGATGACCTTTTGTGTCTTGCCCTCCTTGTGCAAGGTGTCGATGGTCGTCTTTTGGACAACTGTCAAGTCAGCAGTCTTCCCCATGATTGTGTAGCCTATAGAACTAGACTGAAAGACCATTTAAAGGCTTTTGCAGGTGGTTTGAGTTAATTAGCTGATTAGAGTGTGGCACCAGGGGCCATCAATTTTGAACCTTTTCACAATATTCTAATTTTCTGATATGATGAATTTGAGATTTTCATTTGTTGTCATTTGTAATCATCAAAATTAAACAAAATAAACATCTGAAATATATGAGTTTGTATGTAATGTATGAATATAATATACAAGTTTCACTTTTTAAATGGAATTACTGAAATCAATCTACTTTTTCATGATATTCTAATTTTATGACCAGCACCTGTATATTAGTGACATTAATTTGAGTTTATATGAACGAAATAATGAGCTGAAACATCCACAGGATGTTCAGGCTGAATACATTCTGTTATATATGACTTACAACTGCTGGGCATTGACAGGTAATATATGTGAGACCAAAGGGGCTTTGGAGGAGGCCATATAAGACTCTGATTGATTAATTACATTGATGAGTGATAGAGACACTGAAAGAATTCATCATTGTCAGTGATGTCCATCATTTGCCTTTAACTCGGACCATGATAATTCTTGAAAATTCTTTGTTTTGATAAAACACATCGAAACATTTTTGCTTCAGACCCACCAAGATCACGTTTTATGCCACCTTTGCTTTGATATAGTAAGTCTCAGATCCTGATTGGCTTAAAGGTTCTTTAATTAGTTGGTAATGATAATTTTCAGATTCAAAATGGCTGAGAGTGGGATTTCCCTGAGGTCACCCAGGTTTTTTTACTACCCTTTTAGAGAAGGAAGGGTTTTCCGGTGGAGAATGGCCCGGCCTGTCCTGTGAAGTGTCCTGCTGTGTGAACGATTGGTACATTTTAATTGATGGTTTATCCGTGACGAGCGGTCACATTTAGGAGCCTCCATGTGGGAGTGAGAGTAGATGAATTTGACCAATTAGATTTATAGGCTTATGTTACCTAGTCGAAGGTAAATTGAAATAAAGTGCGCATAGGAAACTAAAACAGCCTTCCTTTAATTAGATAAAACCCAAATTGTAGTTAAATGCTGAAAATGTGGTCTTGAGTGATTTGATCCCTGATTATTGATACATCATCAGGGGGAATGTTGGTTGTTTCTTCCATGATTCTATGATGTTGAAAAAAAAAGCGCTTAAAGTTTTCTTATATGATTAATATCCTGCTCTGTGTTGCCCTGCGATGGACTGGCGACCTGTCCAGGGTGTACCCCGCCTCTTGACTGCTGGAGATAGGCACCAGCACCCCTCACGGCCCCACTCGGGACAAGCGTGTAAGAAAATGGATGGATTAATATCCTGGTCATGAGTTGACATTAATGGGTTTGTTTAAGGACGACATTGAAAACGTCACCTTTTCAGGGGGAATTGTTAAAATAATTACCATTGATGATGTGTGAGTTTATCACACCCTGGTATGTGCCTGTGGCATGTCAGAACTGATGTTTTAATCTAATTAGGACAGTTCCTCTGTCTGGTTATACAATTATAATCTTAATTTTGAACACGGCAAAGATTTGGAAATGGAATGAGAGTGGTGTCCCATTTTGATAAGGCTGGAGCCATGTATGTCTAATCATCTGCTAATGTGTGTGATGTAAAATAAGATGATGTGGCAGACTGGAGATGTATAAAATGCCTTTTTAACGGTTAATCGGGGCCACTTCCTGAGAGGTGAGCAGCTGCCATTCTGTAACCCTAAGCAATTTCTCTGATCTGAGTAAGATTACAATTTCTATCAAAATCTGTTGTCATGTCTCCTGGATATTTAATACATATAAGTGATGAAGTGTTATTTAAAGAGTTTGTCCCGAGTTCTCTATTATTAGGGAAAAGAACTGGAAAGATAGAGCATCAGGGTGCATACACAGAGCCTATCTTTAATAGTGGCATTGTTTACTGTGGTGGTCTCTTCATTGGTCTGCCTTAAAATGGCACAGACAGCTGCAGCTGATCTAGAAAGCTGTTAGCCGCATCCTCAATAAAACCACAGCTTTTCATTCCCTCTCCTGAGAGAGTATTTTAGGCACTACTTTTTGCACTAAAGTTTTGGAGCCACGCTATTTGGTTGCGGTCATTGCATAGACAAACTATAATCATTTGTAGCTTAGTTTTATGAGGTGTTTCACTAAAGAGTCTCATGGCTAAATAACAAAAACAAGGAGTTCAGTGCAGCATAAACATTGTGTGACCTTTTCCCCATTTTGTTTTAGCAGTAAAAACCTTGCAGCAACCACCTACAGTGCTTGTAACACCAGTGGTGTCAAAAGTACACACATTTGTTACTTAAGTAGAAGTATAGATACTGCAGTTTAAAAACACTCTGGTAAAAGTGGAAGTATCAACTTGACCTCTTTACTCAAGTAAAAGTGAAAAAGTATGTGCTCCAAAAACTACTTAAAGTATAAAGTAACCTTTAAAAAAAAAAAACAGCCAGATGCCACTATATGAATTGAAAGCTCAATTTTTCTACTATTTCGAAAAATTATTTGAGATAGGGCCAAGGATGAGGGAGGTCTTGTTGGTCTCCGTCTTCCTATGTGTTCTCGCCTGTGTCCGACCTTTCAGACATCTTTTTCTGAATCCGACATTGTAGCATGGCATAGACAATTCCCCTTTGCAGTTTGAAGAACACCTGCTTGCTTCTGATGATTTCCTTTAGCTAACCAATGAGTGTTTGCATTATGACTCAACACTAGTTTTCGCTAGATGTGGATGGCACCAATGATCTGCATTGGATTACGCACATGACGTGAAATAAATATTTATAAACATCAAACCAGTAAGAAAGAGAAAGAAAATCATCAACCAGTAAAGGTCCAGAGACATTTTTAATTATCTGTTACTTTAAACAGAATTTAACACTAAAATAAAATGAGGTGTTTATGCATTCATGTTATACAGCACATTGAATAAAAATAGAAATGACCAAAAATTGCATCCCTTTCGATCTCAGAGGAGCTGACACTTGTATGACTGTATTCCTGTATATCCATCAGTAGTTATAGGGCAAGGTTTAGCAAATGCTAATTCTTCCCTGTAAAACAACGACAGCGTAATTGTCGCTGTATGATCTGAAGCCTCATTTGGAGCTTTTAAACTGGCTTTTGAAAAACTTTGATAATTTGCTGCTTTAATGTTATAGATTTTTAGAAGAAAAAGCTAGCAGATGTGCATAATAAAAAAAATAAGGGAAATACAATTATAGATTATTCAGTATTGTAAGAAAGCCCACAATGTTTCTGAATAAATACAGTATTGCATAAGTCAAGTTATGTTCTGTTTATGTCTCTTTCCAGGTAAGTATGAAATGTCCCATGCTCCTGAATGCACCATAGCTATCTGACGCTTGTGAATGCATCACACTGGTCTGTGAATGCTGTTCTGCGCCTTTAATTTTCCGCTTAAGACAAAGCTTTGCAGTTTCCAAACTCACGTCGGCTATCACTGTTTATTTCTTTGGATTTATTGTTGTTCATAACACCCGTACTTTTGTAAATGAACCTGCCAAATAACCACAAAACTTTACCCTATGTCACTAGGGTAAACAAGAATAACAAAGTATTTAAAGCTGCTTTTATATTCTTTAGCCAAAAAACCAAGGGTTTTTGTTTTTTTTGCTAAGAGGGGCTTTGTGGTATAACAAAAACAACAACCCACAAAAAAACCACACTCTGTGGTAAATCTTGGTTTCGACATGAACAAGCTGCTTCTTTTTGTCTCTGTTCTTATCTTTGCAGTTAATCTGCTCAGATACCTTTCAATATGACCTTCTGTTTCATTTATCTGTCATAAAAGTAGAGTTTAAATTAAACATTTCGCCTTCTAAAGCAAACTCAGTCAATCAGTGATTGATCTTAGATCAGCTTCAAAACTTAGGAGCCACATAAGTCTACCGTTATAGTCTGACAGACTTCTACTGTTGTGTATTTGTAACTTACAAAAAAAAAAGAAAATAGACACAAAATGCTGTTTCCCAATGTTTTTATTTGTGTATATATTCTCTAGCTAAAACATCTATTTCCCCAAGTAAGTTCAATGAATTTTATCTTTAAAATTTAGCAAATGTGCTCTTTTTTTTGCTAATGTTTACCAAACAATTGAATATTACAGTAAGTCTGTATCCAGATTGATCCATTAAAGAGAAATATGCCTGAAAAGGAAACTGGGTACATCGATTTCAGGCTGGTATATAAACAGGACTGTCCCCTTATGTTCATCAAGCTACATTCTCTCATAAAATAACAATCCACACCTATTTCACTTTCATAAAAACAACTACAATAAAGATGTCTAAACAAAATAAATACAAAACATTTGGCATACATAGCCTACAACCTTTGACCGATAAATAAATGCATGTCTAAGGAAAGTGCATCTTAGATCTGTTCCAAAGGGCAAATCTTTTTGAGGTGAAAATGTGTGTGACCACACTTAGCAGCATCAGGAAGATTGTCATCGACATCACTATCACGTAGTGACTAATGCTGCAACCACATTGAAAAAAAAAAAAGATGGTAAACAAGATGGTATAAATATTTCAGCGACCCAAAAATTGAAAAAGAAAAGGGTGTGGATTTACCTTGTGCCGATGTCCAACCAACTTCCATAGTCTTGCACCAGGAAGAAAAAATGCTGAGGAGGAGGAAGTTAAACATTTATCACATATAACTCATAAATATTGCTTTAGTGAGAAAAAGTACTGAAGAAATATGGCTGTAAGATGTGTGACTTGGACTGGTATTAATCAAAGTACTTTACCAGTGCCATGACATCAGATATAACCAGGACAATGAGGAACAAACTAGAAAACAAGAGGAGATAAAAGATCAGAAGGAATGAACGCAAAATCAACCAACATTTCTGACATTTACATTAGAAAGAACAACCAATGCATTCATTCATTCATTCTAAATAAAGTTAATGTTGAATGATATACACCGAAACCATCAAACCACTTGATGCTACCAGTTCAACTATCTTTTTTTCTTTTTGCAAGTTGAAGAGGGACTTACCTTCTTGAGGAGAGCTGTGTTGCAACCTGGATGGTCTCAAATGTACACATTACAATGATAAAAGGAATAATAACCTGAGAAAAAAAAAAGACGATTTTAAAGAAACTGATATTTTTATGCATACACTGAACAAAGTTTAGAAAAGGTTTTTAGATATATAATTACTTTATATTTATGAAGGGACCAAAAAGCACATACAATTTACATTTGCATTCAACCTGTTACTTTGTTAGACCTAAATAAATCCCTCAGATGTCAACCAACACAGAGTATACCTGTCTATAGTTTAATCTAAGTATTAATACTGCTGCTCTGTAAAGGCTATTGAAATGTTGCAGAGAACATCTGGGAACAATCAGCATCATTAAGAGCAAATATCAAACAGTCTGTACTTTTTCTATTGTCTTTAAGCACCACTATTTCTCATTCCTCCATTGGTTAATTCAACAGTTTATGTTTCAGGTTCATTAGATGTTTAGGAGTTTCTAAGCTGACTAAGACTATAATGTGTCATTATGTAAAGTCTGCGTCCAGTAATGGAGCGGTCACTGTTATAGCATGCCTGGCTTGAAGTCTGAAGGAATCAGGCGTTTTAGCATAGTTTTACTTTTAAACCTTAATATAATGAAAACATATCTCCAATAAGTATTATTGCATTATGTCAAATAAAACACTATATTGCAATTCATTTTGCAAAATAAAAAAAAACATGTGTGCTATTCAAATAGTCAATAATAATATTAACAATAATCTGACATCAAAGGGGGCCTTTTGTGACGGGACCGTTTTTATTGTTATTGTTTACCTAAACAATTAACGTTTTATACTTTTGGGGGGGGGGGGGGTTGTGCTGGTATAAAAAAAAGATATGACTCTTATTGTTTTATGGACATTTTTTTTTTTTTTATCTCTACACTCTTTGGTTTTAATCTACCTAATTATACAGGTTTCCATTCATAAGGTGGAATCACTAGAAATATTCTTTCCCCCAGGCATGATCAAAGCTCTTGATTCATTTTGAAAATTTTATTTTCAACATTTTAGAACATCCACTGGTTTTATTCTTTGTAGGTAAGCATGCTATTTCTGTTGATCTATGTGGATGATTCCTTGTTTATCTAGGTCTATCCCATGTGGGATAATAAAGAACTGATCTGCACTGCACGTTTATAAAATGTTGCGTAGGATCCATAGCAGTAATACGAAGCACCGCACGACTGTCGTGTATTTAAATGAGCCAGCTGAGCAACATTATTTAATGGTTACCAATGGCAACAGAAGTAAAGACAGCTAGATAGTCAGATAGATGTGTTGTTGGGTGAGGTGAGGAGTTAGATAAATATGTTGGACAGCTACTGTAAAGAGCTGATAAATAAAAGGAAGTGTAATGAATGACAACTGTAGAGTGGACTGATCATATTAACTAGGACATCCAAGCAGAATTACTCTCAGATTTGTACATGATTTCATAATATAAATCTTTCAATAAACATGCCTTCAGTCAGAGCTTTGATTAACTGTTGATTATGTTAAACACCTGCGGGAAATTTAGCTGGGAAGAGCCGCTTCTCAGCAACTCGAGAGTGCTTAACGGCTTTAATTAATTAAAAAAATTCAGATTTAACATGGGCCAATATGGTCAAGTGTGGGATAATCTTTTATACACTGACTGCAGCATGTTCTAAACATTATTTATATCAACAAAGCTGACTATATTTTAAATTCTATACATTTATCTATAGAATAGAATCATGCCGCACCAAGCTTTTTACATGTTTTATTAAACACCCATGATGATTGAGCGATCAATACTGGACCCAGTTCAGCACATATTTGAGTTTAATCTGTTGATAAATCTCATCATAACTGATCAGTTAACATTGGTGATCTGTGAAAATGCATTCTCTTCCACAGTATATAAATGTTTACAGCAATCTGTGGGAATTCCTAATACCTTGTTAGATTCATAGATTACGACTCACTTGTTGGTTTTTAGGGAGAGGAACATCAACATCCTCAACAGTGCCAGCATGCATCACACTGTGGTTTCAGATCTGATATTATTGACCCACAAATAAAGTTTCATATGAAGTGAAAGAGGTATTAGGATAGCTTCAAATCCCTGCAGTCACCATCTGCGTTGCCAATCTCCTTTGCCTCAAAAATGTGCATAAACCGTACTGAATGGGTAGGGTTGGCCAATATTATTATATTTCATTATATTGGTATTGATATTTTCATTCAATTAAAATTTCCATTTGGTTTGAAGCGAATTAACCAAGCACATGAGGCATCCTAGTTGTTATTCATATTATGTTGGCACACATGGCTGTAATAAACAGGAAGTAGAGGCGGCTGTCTAGCACTGACCACTGATCAGTAACGGAAGAACGCTTTAATGAAATTGTGGCAATGGCAGAAGTTATGTCAACATATCACTTAGTAATAGTGGCTCCAGCCATGTCTAAGCGGATAATAGAACATCTAGGAAGACGACAAAAGCAGCAACAGCTAATTAGTCATGAGAGGTTAAAATTTGCTACTTCAGAGCTGATTAAAAAAAACAGTTTCCATCTCCCTTGTTGTGCATCAACCCTTTTTTTTTGCAAAAGCCAAATACTTTCAAGCAAGCGTAAAAACTTTTTTTGCAAATTCCAGGGAATTTATTATTTTATGTTGCCATTTCTGTCAAGCTTTATTGATGCTCTATTTCAAAATTCGCTTTAGAAAAAGTTGAATAAGATCACATTTGTGCAAAAGTCATTAGTTTCAGGCCCAGATTTGTGCATATGCAAGCTTTATGAATGAGACCCTTGGTCTTTTTATTTACTTCTTCTTTTACATATAGAAGCAATGTTGGTCATGGTTCAAGTTTGGTAAAAGATTAACGACTTCAACAAATGTCTACAGTTGCTGTATGTTTATCCATGGAGAGTCACCAATGGAAGGTCAATGACTTGACGCAATCAGCTGGCTTTCCTTAGACAGAAAACTTTTAACAAACCAGTCTGCATTATTTCTTTTACCTGTTTCCATAAAGGGCTTTGAATTTACATGCGTTTTGATTTGGTGATATATAGGTACACTAAATTAAATGTATGTAATATAACAATGCCACAAGCATTGAATATCGGACAAAACAGGACAATACACAATCTAAAAATGGAGGATTACAGCAACTAGAAGCCTGCCACAGCAGGCTAGTCTGCTTAAATGACAAGAATATTAAAGAGAGCTTTAATCAGAGCAAAGCTATAGGGCCAATGGTAACCTTTATTTGAAAGAAGCACATGACCTTTAATACTCTCCAATAAAAAATAGATGTAGCTATTTATAAACCAGGAAATGGGGGAGAAATGTAATTCTTATATATGCAAAGCTAGGTTAAGCACAACCCAAATGCACTACTGCAATGAAAGGAGGCTCTGTATAGGGATCACAGGTGGGCTGAATATAGACACACATCACTCTCTTGAGATTGCTATTTATAAAGAACTCGTTTTCACTTTACAATTATTTTCTTTGTGTTTAATTGTTTGAATTGAATTAACAAGCACATGCATACTATTCTGATGCTCCTAATATGACATCACATAAAACAATGACAATAATTACCTACCTTCCACATCATCAGCCCTCCCATGATAAACGGGTTGAAAACGGTGAGGAAACAATAAACTGAGGCTGGGTCAAAACTAGATAAGAGCAAAAAGAGGAAGGGTAAAGAACTAGTGACAAAGCCAGAGCATAAAAAGAAGAAGCGATCTTGAGGGGAATACCAGACCACTGATAAACTGTTTTTCTAAAACACTTGTAGACTCTACATTCCTTTAATGCCTCCTAGTCCAAAACAATGAGACAAGAGTCTCTATAAACAAAGTAAAGATCGGCATAGTCGGAAATATATTTCTACAGATTACTTTTCCACTTCCCCTAACTGAATGATCAATATCTTATCATTAACAGAAGCCAAACTTAATGAAGTCAAGCACATAAGAACCATTCAGATCAGACTACGTCACTCCACCACCAACTTTTGCATTACAACTTAATGTCATTTGAAACACAAATACATAACATATGCATGGAAAACTACAGATATGTTTTACCTGTTAATTGACGCAATGTTTCCGGTGCCAAAGAAAGCTGTAATTATAAAAAACACCTGAAGACAATGTAAAGTCAAGGAAAGAATTGAAGTAATACATATTCCTCATTAACCTGTTTTTATATAATATGTGTTAAATCATCATCTGTGTTAAAGGTTCTATACAATGCAATCCTTTCATCAAAATAATGCACAAAGTGGCATTGTGTTTCATTAATGCATGTCCAAGTAACCCTCATCAATTCTGCTCTCTAAGCAGCTGTTGCTTCCGTCCTGGAAAACTAGTGCCCATCACTGTTTTTTGTAGGACGGGGATTTCTCATCTCCTCCAGGAAGCACTTTGAATGTAGTATCCTGCTCACTAAACAACACACTCATTAGATTTGATGTTAGATAGGGCACGATCAAAATCCAAACAATGGGAGCATTCGATTTCAGAGGCTGCCTCCTCCAAGGACCCGGTCTACCTGGACTGGGTCCTTTGAGGATATGAAAATAAGGAGTCCAGAAGATTTTGGCTATGGACTCAAAGAGGTCCAGCCTTCTCCGGCTTTCACCGCCTGTACGCTCTGTGGCCTACAAACCGTGACAGTTGACACACAAAGCAGGCAAATAATTGATAGCAAACTTCTCACTACTGTTCTGGGTGCTAATAACATTTTTGAGCAGCTTTGGCAGCACTACCATCATCACAATAGTCCACACATTGCAGAAATGTTGGAATCTGTGCTTAAATGTCAGCCAAACCCATTTGCAAAGGGACAGATAAAACCTTTCAGTAAAGGAACATCATCCACCACATATCTGACTCAATAACCATTTAAAATAAATATTTTCATTAATTTAGGAAGGAAATATTCACATGCTTGTATTATAATAAACTCCACATACAATATTCACCACTGTTTGGCACCAATTTACCTTTTTCCTCTGAACACGGAGCAGCCAGCTTGCTTGGACTCACAATGAACCATGGGATACCCAGGCTACGTAGGACATACCGGACCCAGCCTCCAAAACAGGCAAAAATAAACCTGCGTTTGTCGGCCGCATAACAAGGGCTGTGTCCCAACGTCCGCCCTAACCCCTAAATCACTATATAGATCGGGGTCTATACAGTGGACTTAATAGTGAGCTCAGTTAACTGACCGTTCGGACAGATGATCGCTACTTTTTGCTCCCCATTGGTCACGTAACTCCGCATCCACCGAGCGGTCCCTGCGCCATCTTTGTTATTAGTTGCCGCTGTGAGGGCAAGTCCCATAATGCTTTGCGAGGAGAGCTCTCTGTTCAAAGTATTCCGAGATATATCTGCTTCTGTAGTGACCATGGATGATAACTACTTTTCAAGATCCATTGGGGGAAATTTCAAGTCGATTACTTTATCAACCACTAGACATTTATTTAAAATGGCATAATCACTATAAAGTGCCCTATATAGTGTTTAGGGCGGACATTCGGACACAGCCGAGGAGTCTTCCAATCCAAACAGGCCTCGGGGCCGTGCTATGACGTAATCGGCTGACGAAACGGGCCTTCAGAGGACGCAGCCGCTGAACTGGAACTCAGCAAAAGTTATTTTAGCACCTAAGCTGCAAAGAAATGACTGTTCTATTTTCAAATATTTGTTAAGAAATAAGAATTTTTCAGCTGTGAGGGGTCTCAGACTTAAGCCCTCTTAAAAAAGAGCCTAATTGTGTGATCCAGATACTGCAGCAACTGCAGAGTAAGGTTATGAAATGGGTGGCTCCCACACAGGGAGAGGTGGCGGCGTACAGTAGTAAAGGCAAGAGTCCTACTTCTGCTTAGGAAATAAAGCACCAGAAATCATCTAATATTTCATAACAAATAGATACTGAGTAACATCAAAGGCAGCTATTCATCATATATGAGCATATATTTGATTTTGAAAAGCTATAAAAAAGCATGATATAGGACCTTTTTAAAATAAAATAAAAACTAAGAAAGTTCTCTAAATTATTAAGGGCTACATTTAACGACACAGAATCCTTATGTGGGCAGTTTTTGTGGTTTAACTACAAATACATGAATTATACAAAGGATACAAAAAAGTACGATCTTCTGATGTCATCCAGCTTCAGCTGTCGGATTTTGGTAATGTCAATGTTGGCTGAGAAATCAATTGTAGATAACTGGATAGAAAGGAGAAAATAAAATATAAATAATGACAATTTCTCACTGGATAAATGCAGTATCTTTAGAGGGTCTTTTCCTTTTGTCCTGGTGTTGATGTGAACATTTTGCACAAAAGTAGATCTTCCTTTTGAAATCACAGTCTTTGAGGCATTGCCTTAAAATACAAATCACAGAAATACAATCACAGAAGAGCCTCCATTTAAATGAAATGTTATGAATTGGTTGCATCATAATCACACGGCCTTTCCCAAATTATTTAGAGGTATGATAGTAAAAATCTTATGGATAGAATTCTGTAAATTCTGACCTATACAGGAAAGGTTTAGTGTGATTTCATTTCCAAGAGCACATTTCTATCTATACAGGAAATGTAAACATCTGGTTTCAACTGCTGCCTGTAATTTGCTGCATTTGTCCGTCCCTCTGGCCAGACTAATCTGCCAGGTTCTGCTGTTGTATAGCATGATGCTGCCACCACCATGCTTTACTGTAGGGATGGCATTGACCTGGTGATGAGCCGTGCATGGTTTCCTCTAAACTAACTAGTAACTCACACCAAAGAGTTCAATCTTTGCCTCATCTGAGCTGAGAATCTGGTTTCTGATGTTTTAAAAGTTCTTTGGGGACCTTTTGGAAATAAATGAACCTGTATTTGATCCAATTTGTGTAAACTTGGAAAATGTAGATATTACTGGGAAAATGTTGGATAAAACTTTGAAAAACAAATCGACTGGTTTAGTTTTATAGTACAGTGGTCTTTGTTGTTTTAAACAACTAAAATAGACTGACTTTGGTTACGGGTGTATTCTGTTATCCAACTACATTTTTATTCCATGTTTATATATTTAGGCCAACCAGGAAAAGGAAAACCAAAACAGTAGCTTCTGAAGACAGTAAAAAAAGAATGAACTAATAAACAAAAACCCAGATATTTTTACAATATATCATGCACTGTAACTCTACCTCTTGTCTTCTGGAGACACCCTGAGCGACTAAAGCTTCCTGTTCAATGTTGATCCACACAAACATTAACCAAGATAACACAGGAGGAAACAAGGCCTCTGACCTAAAAGGCAGAAAACAAAAAGATTTGTCTTATTCAGCAGATTTCCCAGAGCTCTAGAACTACACAATACCTTTGTTAAAAGTCGACTTGCCATACCCAGTGCTTAGCAGTAGGTATGTGGATGTGAGAGACAAAAATATGCTGAGGAGTCGATGGAAGAGGCGAGTTGAGCTCAGAAGAGGAACAAATATAGACGATGCTGGAAAAATAGAGCAGAGATGTAAAGGTGGACGAAAAATGAGTACAGTGACATTTCTACATATTTTCACACGTCTGCCACCTCCTTTCATCCACCTACCTAGCGTGCCCCAGCTTATTATTTGATTTAGAAGGGGCAGGCCTTGTTTCTGCTGCAGGCTGGAATGCGTGAGCGATGGTACGAATGAACAGACGGCCACATGAATCATCTGTAGGGGTGTGATAAGACACATCTTTTAGAAATTGTAAAGCCACCAAAAAGAGTCACAACCTAACACTGGAAAAACCAAACAATCACCTGACTGAGAAATTGCCGTCTGTCACTTGGAGGCATCGGTGTCCTACGCAATGATGACCAGAGGTAACAAGCTGAAGTGAAGAGGCTGAGTAGGCCGGCACAGCTCCTGAAGGAACAAATAATATGCTCTGTTTCATTTTGCATCTGCATTTAAGGTGCACAGTTCTATTTAAATCAGCATTAAACAGCACATTTTTACATTAAATTTTCATCTTTGTCCCTAAAATAGTAATCTGAGTCTTTATGAGATAAGTGAGGGGTCTCTCATCTCCCCCTGCAAGAATGTAAAACTGATGCAGACCTGGAAATGTTGTTATTGGACTTGTAAGTATCACATGCTCTCTCTGTTATTGATACTACTGTGACTTTAGATTTAACAGATTTTTAGCATGCCACTATCAGACATAGGAGAAAAGTAAATAAACCTTGAGAGGCAGAATTATACTTCCCTTACTTAAAAATTACAATTTGCAGTGAACAGAATGCTGTGCACAAGTTTACAATAGGCATATATTAGATACTGTAGAATACCACCAGCCTCTTCAGATATTTTGTTGTGATATGTGTCTTACATCTTTGAGTGTGACAGCAGCTCTCAGGTGTTGAGCATGGAGGGCAGTCAGTGTTTACAACACTGCTATTTTCAAAAGGGGGAATCCCACACAAAAAAATACTGTGAAGTGTGAAGCCTTTACTCTAAACTAGGGATCAGAACCTGTGCTTCCATTTGTCCACTTGCCCACTTTCAATCTTTTTTGGTATGGTAGTTGTTTTCTTTTATTTTAAGCGTTATGTTAACAGGGCAGGATTCTGTTAAACGCTGTGTGCCGTGACTCAAAAATATCAAACTAATAATAAACTCTTAAAATCATACGCTCACTCCAACCACTAAACCGGAACTTCTGAATTGAATAGCACCTGAATGAACCAGAATTTTAAAAACCTTCCCTTTTCAGGGTCTCAGTGTGCAAAGGAAAAGCTAATCAAGCCTCTACCTTAAAGCAGAAGAAAAAAAATAAATAGTGCAATTATTAACCCTATTTTTACTTTATTTCTGCTTACTTCTACAGAAGTCATGCTGCTTAAACATTTTTATGAAGAAAACAAGTAATTATTCATAGCCACCATATCTAATGTCTTGAATTAAAATTCTTATTTTTATTGTGACCTATCAGAAGCTACTAATGTTTAATTTCAAGTGTTCAAACTGAGTAAAAATAAAAACCGACAACCTCTTTTTTTGTGCGTGTAACAAGCAACTGATTTCTGAATGTATTGCTGATAGAATCAAGCAGAAAATAAAGGAAGTACTCACACCAGCTGTAGGTTAGGCTCTCTACCCACAACTGGCAACAGAGGGAAAACGGCCAAGCACAGGCAGCCCAGAACCCAGCTAACTGAACGGAGCTGCACAGGAAAACAGACAAAGATAACCATGAGCAGTGGTTACTGGGGGTTTAAGCAGACAGCAAGAATTTGTTTAAACATATGAGCTAATCAAGCAAAACTGAAACACAAAACACTAGAGTGGATACATTACTTCCTAGATTAGGTAAAGTTTAACCTTTACATTTGTAAAGAGACAGTGTTTGTTTTTTATAACATTTAAGGCTCAAGTTCCTAATTCCTCATAACAGTTAAATATAAAAATCCTATTTTGTTTATGGTGCTACAGATTTTCTGAGACATTTTCATTCATTTTGTTCATTTCAATTAAAAATAACTAGACCAGGCATGCCCAAAGTCGGTCCTCGAGGGCCGCTGTCCTGCAGGTTTTAGAGGTTTCTCTGCTTTAGCACAGCTGATTCTGATGATTGCAGTTCAGCAAAAGCCTCTTAATCAGCTATCAATGTAAATCAGCTGTGCTGAAGCAGGGAAACCTCTAAAACCTGCAGGACAGCGGCCCTCCAGGACCGACTTTGGGCATGCCTGAACTAGACATTATTGTAGTTTTTCTGAAAATGTTTCCACACTTATCTAATCTTTGTCAATTCTGTCGGGTCGCTTTAGAGTCAAGTAGCAACTTGTAGTTGGAGCGCTGATGTTATTAAGCACCTGAAAACCCATCCTCATTAGCATAGTCGGGGTCAGATGCAAATCAATGACACAGTCGTCATTTTCCGGGGTCGTTAGAGTCTGTTTGGGTTTTGTGTTTGATCATTTGAATCATGATAAGGATATTAGTGTAACCTCTCCAGAATGAGTTATAGGACAGCTTTTGTTTCAGGAAAACTGAGCGACAGTCCTGTTGCCTTTGTTTTAAGCCTGCTTGGTGGACGCCATGACTAGCATGACTGAGAATTTGCGCAGGGGAGATACTTTTCTGTTTAAAAACAAACATTTTTACAAAACTTTAGATGCCTTATATATATTAAAGGGAAGATCGCTGTTAAATTGATTGCTGCAAGATGATCCTGTTGCTGTGCAGCAATATTCTGGGATTTGCTCTAATCAAAAATTAAGTTGCGCATTAGATATCATAATCTGAACCAGATTTATTGCAAAGTAGCTTTGCACTTACAAGGAATTTGACTTGGTGTTGATGGTGTAGACAATTTAGATAGATATACAGAATATATAACTATATATATTATAAAATATACAAGATACAATATAGAGTATATAGCCATATACTATATACACAGTAGATTTTGAGTTAATGTAACGCAGAAGGTCTGGAGATCCTACGCTGGTGTAGCTTATAGATCCTGAAGAGGCAGCGTCAGTGTCAGGGGGTCTCTGGGGCTTGTTGATAAGGCTAGTAGCGGATGGGAAGAAACCGTTCTTATGGTGTGAAAAATATGAACTCCTCTTTCCAAAGATTAATGTTCAAGAAAATTTCTGGATTTGCTGCCATATTCTTTGCAGAGAGGCTCTCTCCTGTCAACCCTTCCAAACCACACCTTTTGATTCTTATACGAATTCTGTTGTTTGTTTTTTTGTTGTTGCATGTTTTGTCAGAATAAGCCTGCAGAGTCAGAGATGTAGAAGTTTTGTCTTTGTAGTCCAACTCTAATAATACTGCTAGTTAACTCAAATGTTATCCACTAGTTGATAACCATTGTCACAGCAGAATACCAGACTTCATATTGTTAGGAAATACACTTGCAACCTTTTAAAAGATTGATGGGCACCAAGAAATGCTTCTCTAAGATCACTATAATTCAGCCTTGTCTTTATGAAAATACACACATTTTTGCCAGCAAACCACTTTTGTAGAGTTGGTTACATTTAATGGTCCTTTAATCATGTGCATTTGTTATAACAGCAGCCGACTCTGCTTCACCCCTTAATTCCTTTGGAGGAAGCAAAGATTTGCTTTATTTGTTAAACACTGGATTTGTGTCCTGGCTTCGTTTTTGTTGAACAAATAAACTCAGCAGGAGAACCGATCAGTCATCTGTAAACTTGAGGTTAGACATGAGTCATTTTAGAACCTGGGAAAGACCAGAACGTATTTATTATTTGCATGTAAAAAAAAATATTTTAAAAAGCTAAAAAAAAAAAGAGGCTGCACTCAACTGAATTTTTCCCTATTTAATTTATTTTAAGTCCCAAATGAAAATAAATAATAAAAATATAGATGTTGATTTACTATTATTTATACCCATCTAACAATCTAGGGATTTTCTGAGAAATTTAAATCCTTGAACATATTTTGGTTTAAGAAAATAGTGGAGGTGATGACAGTTTTAATCTGTAAACAGCCTGGCAACCCAGATCATGCTGTGATCTACCAGATCTGCTTGTTTATCTAACAGAAAACCTCTTAGATAGCATTACTATAACATCACCAAATCACCCACTTTTAAAGGTCCGCTTTGAATGTAGGAATGCTGTTTATTAGTTACCTTGGCCTTGCCAAAAAGTCCAGAAAGGAGCGGCCAGAGGGAAAGGAAAGCCAGGCCTACAGTCAGCATAGCGCGATGAAAGAAACTCACCACCTGGGGGCAGCAAATGACAAACAGTCATCTGAGATACAGAATGTGGTGAGATCAGACACATCAAATCCATGCTTTGGTAAATGACTGTACAAATGTGGGTTAGACAAAAACAATTTAAAGACACATACAAGCAGCTCGATCCCAAAGGCCACCAGCACAAAATAGCTGAAACATTTCCAGAGTGGCAGAGAGGGAGCTGATCGGATCAGATCTGTCAAGGCTCCTGACCTACAGGATGGAAAAAAAAAAAAAAACTTACATTTAAAAAGTGTAGGAAAAACAGAAAATCTGAATATCCATAGCTATTTAGAGAGGCTTGAAAAAAAAAAACAAACAACAAAACCTAAAAGGACTCAAGTGTCGTTCAAAAAAAAGAAAGTTAAAAACAATCCACTGGACTCTGTTTCCAAGTTTGAAGACGTTTTGCTTCACATCCATGAAGCAACTTTGGAAACAAAGTCCAGTGGATTGTTTTAAACTTTCTTTTTTTTGGAATGACTATGACATATTACTCAAATGACACAAAAAAAGGTGTATTTTGGCATCTTGTGTGATTACTCAAAACTTTTTAATGTAGATCATACAGAAAATTTCTACATCTTATACATAATATATTGTATACTTACTCCTTTAAAACCGAGTACCAAACAGGAACAGGCAACAGGCAGTATATATAGTACGTAATAGGACTTCTCTGGATAAGCAGGAACACAGTGATCACCAGAGCCAGTGTAACACAAAACCTGGCCAAATTCTGACTGGGATTCTACACAGATAAGAGAAACACAGGTTTAACCAGACAGGCAACATGTGCAAACCTGTTTTTTTTTTTTGTGTGTGTGTGAAAGTGGGGCTACTGTCCGCTGTCCCTACCTGTTTAGCGAGATTAGGATGACGAATCAGGCTGGCGTGAGTTCTCAGTATAACCAAGATGACATATGAGGTCCAGCCTATAAATCCCAGCACCACACTGCAACCCAGGAAGAACCTGTCATAGGTGTGGTAGTAGACCAGGCCTTCTAAAGAGAGGGCTATTAGAGACTGGCACAAAGAGATCTGACAAGAGATGGGATATATGAGGAAATCAAATGGAGTGCTTTTGTACCCAAGACCAGAAAAGGGAACATTGATAAGCACTTAAAAACCAAACAAAAAAATTGATTTTACAGCAGTTTATCAATTCCTTGATACTTACAGCCTCATTATACTTCTCTAACTGAATCAGTATCCGGGCCTTGTGAGTAAACTCTTCTTGCTTTGACTCAGTCAAAAGTCTGGAGAAAAAAAAAATCTCATAAAAAAAACATAAATAAATGACTAACCTGCTTAATTTAAAGGTATAGTGGAAGATTTTTGCTAATTTTCTGAAAAGATCCACCCTATCCAATTAAAAAATAATGTACATGCACAACCCTGTAGCTCCAGAGAGAGAACACCTATTAAACACGTGCAAGAGCATGCACGAGCCCATTTCTCCTCGTGCAGGCTCTGTTTAAAAGTTGCTTTTTACATCACTCATACAGGCTTACTTTCCAAAAGAAGATTTACAATTTTTCCACTATGTCAGACTCACCAGCATTAAATGAAAATGGGGATGAGGATGTAGGACGGCTTTACATTAACATATCACAAGAATGATTGACAATTAGGAGGACCACTTATTTTGATGATCCACCTTGAAAAAAAAACATCCTCCACTATACCTTTAAGGTGAAAACAAGTTAACTCTTAACATCTTCTATATGTGCTGTACTCACTGGTATGGTGTGAACAGAAAAGGCAGGGTTGTCTCTTTTTTCTGGGTCATTTTCACCTATTTAAGAACAAACAAATCTTATCAATAACTGTGTTATAAAAGTAATATAACGTGTGACATGCCTGCCACCAAACAGCAGAAATGCATTCTGCGATACCTTGAATTGCTCCAGTACTTGAATAGCATTAGTGTACATGCTTTCAGCCTTGAACTGGTCACTGTTGTTGAGGTAGAGGAGAGGAATCACACCCTGTGTACACACAAGAACAAACACAAGCCGCTTTTGCAATTAAAAATCAGAACGAAGGTAGTTTCAAAACACTGCCCTACATTAATAAAGTATTTATTTAAGTGTTAGGAATTTTGTCTTTTTCTTCTGATTATTTACTGACTTACAACAGAGTTAACTGGAATGGGCAAACCAAGGAGAGAAGCCATTAGTGGAGCAATATCGGCCTGAAATGAAACCAAAACAAAACTTCACTCAGTGACCTTCAAATACATTCAGATAAATATAACTTTTGCAGTTCCGTTGAATTAAAGCTACTGATATTTATATATTATAATGGAGCTTTGTGAGACAGACCAACACAAAATTACACATCACTGTAGAGCGGGAGGTTAATGACATGGTTTTTGAAAATCTGAAAATGAATTCAGACTGAATGGATGGTTTGCCTAAACAGAAGTCTTCATATGTCGAAATATTTTAAGCCCCAAATTATAAATAAACTTATAATTTGGACTTAAGCTGGAACATTTGAACACATAAATATGCTTCCATGGAAACCTTTCTGCTGTAGCTCTGGCTGTAAATTAATACTTGGTCATTTTCCTGCCTCACCCCCGTGTCTACTGCAGCATCCAACAGTATGTTTCCCATATGTTTACTGCCATCCGTTTTAACGTGCTTTAAAGCTACAGTGTGTAATTTTCAGCGACATCTAACATCCAGACTGCAGACTGCAGCAAGATAAACATCCCCCCCCCACCGCTTTTCTCCCCCAACAGTACGGCGAGCGTTACGGGACAAAATGTCTTCCACGACGTCCGCATCACCTACCTTCTCAAGTGATGAGGTTTGTTTACATAGATCATTTTAATACTGCCATCTATTGTTCAGTACCGTCTCAGTTCATCTCTCTCAACTTGCCGTAGTTACTTTCGAGCGTAATGGGCGATCTCGCAATCGCTAGTTTGTTGGCTCTGCGCTGCCGTAGCGCAAAGATGTCTGCCTCCATGGCTGCGAGACCCGCTCCTATGTAATTATAAATAACGAATTCTAAGGCAACACAAATATTAAGGTTAAGAGGCTGAGCTTGTAGATGATGATAAATAACATAGTTATGTATAATATATTACATTTCTGACTGTATATCCTTGTAATTATTACACACTATAGCTTTAATTCTTTCCAACTTTCCTGACCCTACTCAGGAAAGCATTCCCGCCGCATGATGCTGCTACGACCACCACCATGTTTTGGTCCGAGGAAGATGTGCAGAGTTAGATTAGCTTTTGGCAACTTCTCATTTAATGATGCTTTCCCTGCCTTTTAGCTTAGGTAGACAGTAAAACCAAATGCGGTCCATAGCTTTTCTGCATATACAGTTACAGATAATGGGTTGGATAGCTGTTAAACTGCTTTAAGATTTTTTATTTTTTTTTTATCTTGAGTACATATATATTGAACTTACTAAAAAAAATTTATTTAAAATAATAACTCCATAATGGAGTTTATTCCCTTATATTTTGCAATGATTATTACATTACATTAAATACAGGTGGACCCTACTTACCAATAAGTTGAGATCTGATAGCAATTACATTTTAGTTACAGGTAACAAAGTAAAAAGAGGTTTGTGATTGTTATTTGAAAAGAAAACCTTTCAAAATCTTCCTCTTACTTTGCAGCAAAGAGCTGAACTGTATAGGCTGCTCACCAAAAAACACTTAAAGGGGTATGAACACATTGTCCAGACACTGACTAATGATAGGCATATTTCACATATTATCTTACCTGATTTACATCAGCTCTACGGATATGCTCCAAGTTCCAATCTAAAAAAGTAACCAAAACAAATAAATAAATTAGCTGAAATTGGATCAGGCAAAAGGTTAAACATTGAGAATAAACTAAGCTCACCTTTTAAGTACCCATCTTCATAGGGCTGGGATGCAGTGACTCTCTGGGCCTTGTTAACTCCAGCTCCCCAAACCACTAAAGGTGTGAGTGTTTCTGAAGGATGGCCTGCACCGTGGGACCCTACAGGTGGAAAAGTGCAGCAAATTAATACCTGATTTGTATGCTTATGTAACAGACCACAAAACTACACCTAAAGAAAACTCTTACCCCAGTTTGTCATGCCATGATCGGAGGTGAACACATAGGCAGTTCTGCCATCATGGCCAAAGAAGTCCTCCATCAAGGACACAATCTCAGCTACACCAGTGTCTACCAAGGCAATGTTGTCCAGGTACTCCCTAAAGACAAAAAGAGTCAAAGAAAACGATTATGCCTCATCGGAGATTGCTTATTTACAAACAAACAAACAAACAAAAAATAATAATAAAAAAAAAAAAAAAAAAAAATATATATATATATATATATATGCAAAAATATATTTTTTAAAGTACTTCTAAAGGCAAGAAGAGAAACATCCCAACTCAATAGAACCTACTTACCGTGACATCGGTCTATGAGCATGTCCATTAGTGTCAATGCCAAGCAGATGCAGAAAGAGTATATTTTTATCCTCAAGCAGAGTGGCTTTCAGGGTGGAATTAGACTTTGCAGCTTGAAAGAAGGACTGTCACAAAGTTTAAGCATAAACATAATTAGGAGAAGGGGTATGTAAAATAGGTTTCACTTCTTCATACCCCTTTTCAGACGATTTACATGAATTAATAAACAAGAATTGTATATGAATCAATAATCACTGTCAGATCTTAGACTACACATACTGGCAAGTTTATTAAGTGGAAAATTGTGTTTATTTCATAGCTTCTGTCTATGTTCAAATGAATTTAAATTATTTGGAACTGAAAACCTAATTTATTTTAATGTTCAACCTGTAAACAATCACTTTGTTATGTGTTACATGGTTGTTTGTTTTAAATATTTTCTGAAATTGATTTATCTGTTATTATTTCTATAATGTGTTGTTGTCTGAAATAATTTAATTCATTCATTCCTTCATTCATTCTAGGAATGCTAGACTTCTTATCAAAAAGAAAAGCATACAGTGCTGTAAAAATAGCTAACAGGCACTGTGACATATACTCTTGTTATTATAAGTGACTCCCTATTTTGCTACAAAAAAATATATCTTATTTAACCACAAAGATTACTGACTGACTCATTCAATTGTTACATCAATTACAACAGTCATTTCAGCTGTCAATATTTCTGCCGCCGTACTTTGACTTGAGAAAAAACCCAGCTGTCCAGCCTGGAAGCATCTTTGGAAGCAAAGTCCTCGTCTTCAGCTGGGTATGTGTGGGTATAAACGTGGTCCCCAGTTGCACCTATAAGCACCCAAAACAGCAAACGCTATTTATTTATTTTTTTGCCAACAAAGTTACTGTCAAACGATCCAGACAGTGATTAAAAGAACCATTTCAAATGTAAGTGAACATAAATAATGATAAATGGTTTAACACATTTTCTTCTTGTATTGATATTAAACCAAATATAAACGTTTTATTTTTTGAGGGGATAGTAGTAGTTTTTTACGTGTTCATTAGGGTAAATTTGTTTTTTTGTGCTTCACTCACACTTTTTTTTAAGAACTTTGCTTTTCAAAATACAATATTTTATTGTTAAATCAATAATGCTTCATAAAATCTTGACAGTAGAGCACAAGAAAAATAACAGATTACTAAATCAAACAATTGCTAGTTTTGGGGTCTTTAATAGAGTCGTTTTACAAGTTTTAAAACTTCAAAAACATATGAAACTGATCAACATGTTTATTTCAAATCAAACCAGGCAGATAAAAGCTTTAAATACCCGTTTATATGCTTTTAAATTAGTACATTTATTTGTGGATTATGACAGTAAACGTAAAATTATCAATGAGTTGAAAATAAAAGTTTAGTACTAAATATTTTCAAATCAAAGATAGAAGACATGGTCTAAATGTAAATAGACCTAAAAAGCTATTCGTTTTATTAGAAGTTTTGTTTTTATCTCTGTGATGACAGGATAACAAATAAAGTCAAGAAAAGTAAAATAATTCTGACTTTATAGCTGATAAAATAATCCAGACTTTTCCAGACATACAAGGAACTTTATTGCCTACCTTTGGCAAACATTGGGAGGATGTCTGGGCTCCCCCAGCACCAGGTGTTTCTGCTTTCATTAAACACTGAATCAAACTCCACAGGATTCTCCTTCCAACCTGAAAATATGCAAAATAAAATGCAAATATTATCACAAAGAAAAAATACTGACATTCTAAAAAGTTGAATCAAAGGAGGATGAGGAAAATCAAAACATGCACTTACCTTTAGCGACTGCACTGACATCCTCATAAAAGCCTGCTATTAGAGCAACATGACCAGGCCGCGACTCAGTAGGCACATGTGTGTGAGAGACGCCCCAGGTGCCACTCTCCATAATTATAGATCTAATGATAAAAACAAGATTAATCCATCCATTCATTTTCCATCACGGGGTCGCAAGGGGTGCTGGTGCCTATCTGCAGCTGTTTACGGGCGAGAGGCGGGGTACACCCTGGACAGGCTGCCAGTCTATAGCAGGGCAACACTGAGGCAAACATGACAAACAACCATCCACACACACTCACACCCAGCCCCATAACCAGCATTGAGAAAACCGAGGTCATTTCCTCTGTATTTTCCTGTTTTTTTATTTTTTTATTATTATTATTATTTTTTTTTTTTTTTATTCAGATAAATGTCAATATGATGAAAATTGTTCTGACTTTGATTGGTGTAAAGATCAGCATGCATTCTCATTTGTTTTTTTTTTTTTAAGTCCACAATCACCTTATAAAATCACGTTATTTTAAAACTAAGCAGAAATTGCATCTGAAATTGCATTCTATCATATCATGCAGCTCCTTTGCGAAACCAGCCACCCACGCTCTGAACACCACGAGATAGTATAGGCTACCAGTTTTTAGGTGGTGGAATCTGGAAATAATAATAATAATAATAATACATTTTATTTGTATTGCACTTTACATTTAAAAAAAATCTCAAAGTGCTACAAAATTCATAGTTAAAACAAAACCGTATAATAAAAACGGTATACATAGTTAAAATGAGACATTACAGTAAAATAACATACGTAGTAAAAACAAAACAGTAAAATAACCATAAAACCACACAGATAAAATACTAACTAATGTTCATAGGCTTTTTTAAATAAAAATGTCTTGAGGCCTTTCTTGAAGGCCTCCACACTCTGTGGGACCCTAAGGGACTCTGGGAGGCCATTCCAGAGTTGTGGGGCAACTGCCTGGAAGGCCCTATCTCCCATTGTGCAGAGCTTGACTCTTGGCTAGTGCAGTCGGTGGGTGGAGGTGGTGGAGCGGAGGGTTCTGGAGGCGGTGTGAGGTGTGAGGAGTTCCTTGAGGTAAGCCGGGGCAGTTCCATGTATGCACTGGTGAGTGAGGAGGCAAAGTTTGTAATCTATTCTGTGTTGGATGGGCAGCCAATGAAGGGACCTGAGGACTGGAGTGATGTGTTCGTGTTTGCGCCTCCTCGTCAGGACCCGGGCAGCACAGTTCTGGATGTGCTGCAGCTTTTGTAGACTTTTGCCAGGGACCCCGACGAGGAGGGCATTACAGTAGTCCAATCTGGAGGAGACAAAGGCATGGATTAGCTTTTCTGCGTCGGGTTGGGAAAGGGAGGGGCGGAGTTTGGCGATGTTTCTGAGGTGGAGGAAAGAGACCTTGCAGAGGTGACGTATGTGGGAGTCAAACGTGAGATGTGGATCCAATTTGACACCAAGGTTTGTGACAGATGAGGACAGAGGGATGTTTTGACCGAAGATAGGGATACTGTTTAGGGAGAAGGACTTGGTTTGGTGTGGGGTGCCAATGAGAATGGCTTCTGTTTTGCTGCTGTTGAGCTGTAGAAAGTTTTCAGCCATCCATGTCTTTATCTCCTCCAGGCAGCAGTGAAAAGCAGATGGCAGAACTGTGGGAGAAGTGGAGTCCATTTTTATGTACAACTGGGTGTCATCTGCATAACAATGAAAAGATACCTTGTGTTTTTTGATTATCTGACCGAGTGGGAGCATGTAGATGGTGAAAAGGGTCGGCCCAAGGACCGACCCTTGAGGCACTCCGCAGCTGACTGTATGGGGTGATGAATTGGACTGTCCTATGGCAACAAATTCGGACCTTCCCGTGATATATGACTGGAACCAGTTGAGTGTGGTTCCAGAGAGTCCAACTGTGGTCTGAAGACGATGGAGTAGGATGGTGTGGTCCATATGAAGAAATGAAGAAATCTACGCTGAAACAAACAAAATTCTAGCCTGACGTAGTCTGACTCAATTCTAGTCAGAATATGAGTCTGATACTGCTCCATAGAGCTGTGATTATGGGGCGTGTTTTGAACGAACCAGGAAAAAAAATGCCTCTGTACTCAATTGGATAGACCTACAACCAATAAGAGCAACGGAGTGCGTGACGTATCTTAAGCGAGGCATAGTTGTTGTCCACAAAAATCAAAGCGTGCAGTTGCACGCCTAGAATAAGAAGATGAGACTTGATCGCGTTTCTCTGTTCCTCTTTTAAAATTAATTTGCTGTTGATATCTTCTAGAACAGACCTAATAGCAGAATCTACTCACCCAAACTCTCCAGCGGCAGCCATTATTGTTGTCACCCAAGCGCGCTTTGGTCACGTGGTTGATAACGTTACTCTTGATCATCTGTCCATCATCGTATAAAGCCCGCCCTGACAATTTGATTGGATCGCCTGACAGTGGGCTTTAAAGGAATAGTACACCCAAAACATGATTAGCCTTCATTTTCTACTCACCCCCATGCTGAACAAAACTCTGGAGTACTTTTTTGATATTTTTTTTTGATAGAGCCTAAACAGTAGTGTATAGGATTTCCTAATAGCGCCCCCATGCGCGCTCACGATTCTACGGAAGCCGGCAGACCAAACCGGAAGGAAGTGCGCATTCAGCGTCTGCTCTGCCGATAATGCAAGCGTAGAAGAAGAAATGTGCTGTTTACCTGTGCAAAGAAAGAAACAACGAAAGAAAAATGTCTGAGGACTTCAGTGTTGAGGAAGAGCATGAGTTCTTTGCCGAGCTGAATGCGCTGGTTTGGTCTGCCGGCTTCCGTACCGTCGTGAGCGCGCATGGGGGGCGCTATTAGGAAATCCTATACACTACTGTTTATGCTCTAAAAACATTCTAAATGACTTCGTTTCGAGTAAATTATGGACGCTACCCACTCAGGACACTTGGAATACATTGGACGAGCAGTATGGAGGAATATTGACACGTTTTTATGGACTTTTATGGACCTTTCTGTCTCGGGCGCCATAGACCTCCATTATTTGAATGTCAGCAGACAGCAAGAAGCCTCCCAGATCTCCAGATGCATTTGAGATATCAAAAAAGTACTCCAGAGTTTTGTTCAGCATGGGGGTGAGTAGAAAATGAAGGCTAATCATGTTTTGGGTGTACTATTCCTTTAATACTCGCGCTACTATGGAGCAGAGCCAGACCGAACTTCCCCGAACTCAAACCTTGTGGGCGGGACTAAGTTCGGACTGGCACCCAGGCTAACAAAATTCAGCTTTGGAAAGCAAACAGGTCAGGGGGACAGAAAGAGAGAAGGAGATGAGTTCATTTCGCCAGTAAATATATCATTCAAAGCATGGCTAGGAATAGGATGCTCATCGTCTTCAGCAAGCATTTCAATCAACTGTCACTAAGATTTCATTTTACAGTCAGAGTCTACTTAAAACTACTGATGCACACGGGGCAAAATTATAGAATGAAATAGTACTGCATTTTTCTTGAGTGAGCTTAGTTGTGTTGCTCATGGTGCATTATGAAGAATACAGATTTCTGCTTCGGCTATTTTAAAACTATTGATGCACATGGGGAAAAAAAATAATGTAGCCTAGGCCTAATCAAACAGCCTGTGCACAACATTGTTTTTGAGGTTAGTTAGTTGTGTTGCTCATGGTGCATCATGAAGAATAAAGATTTCTGTTTGGCTATTTCAAAACGGAGCAAAATACTATAATCAAACAGCCTGTGTACAACTAACAACATTGTTCTTGAGGTTATGTCTTGCTCATGGTGCATTATGAAGAATAAAGATTTCTGCTAAAGCTGTTTCAAAACTATTGATGCACACAGGACAAAATAATATAATCAAACAGCCTGTGTACAACATGTTCTTGAGGTTAGTAGTGTGCTGCTCATGGTGCATTATGAAGAATAAAGATTTCTGTTTCGGCTATTTCAAAGCTATTGATGCACACGGGACAAAATGATATGATAAAGATTTAACTCTCTTTATTAACGTTTCCAAAATGTATTTTAAAAAGTCACCATATTAGGATGTTTTTTTGTCAAGTAAGATTTATCACAATATTTGACCTCAGTATGTCAAAAATCCTGGTTACGGCCCTGCTCACATCTAAGGAGAATTTAGAGAAGCCAATTAACCTAACCCCAGAGAGAACCCATGCATTCACAGGGAGAACATGCAAACGCCATGCAGAAAGACCCAGGGCCGGGAATTAAACCCGAAACCTTCTTGCTGCAATGCAGCAGTGCTACCCACTGCTCCAATGAGTAGCCCAAGATAAATCAATCTAAAGAATACAAAAAAAATTTGATTCTAGTTAATTCCCTTGTGTAAATCAGTGTGCCCACCTGAGAAATGGAGTCCGACAAGAGCCATTGGGTAGCAGGGTGAATAGACTGTCAGCTCGTAGTCCATCTGCTACAAATAAGACCAGTCTGGAGGCAGGAGGTGCCAGTGGTGTGGTCTGGGGTGTCATGCCATGAACCAAAGGAGATGTGAAGTAGATATCAAAGATGGAGAGGAAAAAAACTACATGGACCGTCAGTCCTATTAGGAAAAATGTGACCATCCTCATTTTGCCTGAACACAGCCTTGACTCTACAGAGCAACGCTGGGGTTCCTGAGATGAAGCAAATGAAAAAGATATATAAGCAAGAAGATTGAAATTTAAAAAGAGACATTAAAGAACATTTACTAAGGGCCTACAGAACACAAATAGAAGACATGTAAGCTTGACAATTAGACTGGCTAAGTCATTGTTTCTGTAACTGTAAGGCTTAGAGATGGGACTAATCCTTCCCCATATGCCACCAGCCAATATGTCAAACATAGAACACATAAGGGCAAATAGTTTTGTACTATATAAATAGCAACAGCTATTTCATTATATTGTAAGTTTGTAAATAAATCTATTACATCTGACAAAATACAGCTTTTACTCTTACCTTTATATATCGTCAGCTAGATCCTGACATAAAGTGGTTAAAAGAACAAGTGGTCGAAAAAAATGTACCCATTCAAAACAATAATATTTTCCCTAAATTATATCTTCGTGATGGTGCGTCAATACATATCCAACGTAGCAGACAGATTAAGGCTACTCTTTCGAAACGAGATCAGCCTAATCTTTAGGTTGATGCTTTTACAAAACCAGCCACCCTCTTTGTAACAAGATTACTACAAGAAATACAGGCAGCACGAGATTTTACTTCCTTATTGTGACTTTGGCGTTGACACCTGGCGCATGCGCAAGCAGCTGCATTATGGGTAATGTAGTTATTAAAAAAACATTGAACTCCAACCCGTTTTTCCTCAAATAAAATATTTGAACAATACTTATCTCAGAGTTTTGACTTTTAATGTGCAGTGTCCGAATAGCAGAGAAAAAGGACCTAACTTTATTGATATTGTTATATATGGACTCTATTTTTCATTTTTTGATATCAGCTAGCATGAGCTGTCAACTTACAACCGTGCCCTGCCCAGTTATATTAGAAACATCGAATCACCGTTCAATGACTTCTTAGAAAGGCGGGCTTTAAGAAGACGTCACAGAAATTTAACCAATAGTAATTTCTGTTTTTTCCCCCAGTTAAAAGCCATACATATCAGGGTATTCATTCAGGAAGAAGCCTGTCTGATTAGCCTAGCCTGCCAGGAGCGTTAAAACATTTTATAGTGGGAAAAAAAAATGGCGTCGGTCAACCCATTTGATGTAAGTGATTCCGAAGAAGAAGCGGAACGGCGTCCTAATGAGACCGTTGACACAGAAAGAAGTCCGAGCGAGGGGGCGCCAGGGCCACCGTCAGGCAGTCCCTTCTCTCCTCCTGCTGATGCCGAGGCTCCGACACTGATGCTGTCTAGCAACCGGACAAGTCCCAGCGGTGAGGGCACCTCGGTTTCGGCCGCGGCCACATCCACTATGGCAGGCAGCGCAGAGACGCGGGTGTCTGTGGATATAATTGCTGCTCAGCTGTTACGGGACCAGTACATTCTTACGGCCCTGGAGTTTCACACTGAACTACTGGAAGCAGGTAGGGAGCTACCGCGGCTAAGGGATTATTTCTCCAACCCTGGCAACTTCGAGCGACAGAGCGGCACCCCACCTGCAAAAGACCAGGGGCTCGGATCTGGAGGACCACTGAGTGAGTAGCATTTGCTCACATTGATGCTAACAGTTTGCCAACCTGCGGTATTACACAGAGATAACTCATTAGCTCGCTAACGTTAGCTAAAGTAGTGGAATTGATCTCGTATTGCAGGTTGCTGCTCCGACCACTCGAGGGCCGCAGTCATCAAACGGGTTCTGTGGGTCAGTTACCTTGGCAGCAAGATCAGAGCATAGGTCATGAAAAGCATTAAAATTAATGGAAGCAGATATAACAAAGGGGGGTATATATAGGATATAATAATATATGGGTTGCGACCTGTAATACAAAAAAACAAAAACAACACTCCTTACTTCTGGCCTCCAGATCAGAAGTCAACAACATCCAGAAAAATCCTGATTTAAAAAAAAGGCAGGTTTTATTTTATTACCTACCTTTTGGATTACAGATCTTTTTTTTTTTAAACCATCCCTTTTATTTTAAACTATTTTCCTGTACATCTTAAGTCTACATTGCAGGTTTTCAATTATGCTTGACACCATATTCTTACAACAAAATTAGATTAGATGTTATGGGCTGTGTGTCTGGAGTGTTATCTACTTATGGGACCTTTATTGGAATAACCAGTGCATGGAAGGTGGAGAGCCTCTTAGGCCATAGGCAAACACAGCATGCAAATGATTACCATGGAAACTCTCAGCATCATAATAAAAAAGCCTGTTGTAGAACTTGAATAAATAGAACAAGTGGGGCATTACCTGTTGTCAATAGGGATGGACTTCCATAAGATTATCATAAAAAAAATGTCTAAAAGCACAATGGTTTATTGGTTTTATATAAATATAATGTTCATATAATCAAGTTTTATTCAGGAAAGCAATAAATATTCCCCCTCACTACCAAATAGCATAACATAGCAATTCTTATTTATAATTATTCTTCGGACACAGATCAGGAAAAAACTATATTTAACAGCTGCTAAATTTACTAGTATTTTTAAAGTGCTTATAATGCTGAATCTTATTCCTGTTTATGCTGCTATTTGTATCGCATCAAATGTGTAATAAACTGATAATAGCTTGTTGATTGGTTGGACTATTAGCAGACAAGAGGCTATTTAAAAATCAACCTTGAGAAAATAAGGGGACATTTGACCCTAGGGCATAATATTTGTCAAAGCTTTTGTTTGGTTCAATGAGGGAAATTTGGCACCAATGCATTATAATGACTAATAAAGCTTGATTAACCCAACTCCAAGAACAGCTGGCTACATGAGGGGTGTAAAGAGAGAGCTTTTGGGGCTTTTGTCTAATTGTTTTAAGAGCACTTACTCATTTCCAAGCTCCTTAATTATTTGAACTATGACTGAAACAGCAAGAACTTTCTGATAAAACAGGTGATCTTGGGATTGTGATGAGAAAGTGCTTTATTACATCCATAGATGTGATTCAGCTTCAATTCAGAAGCAGAAAAGGCTTTCCCTGTGCTCCAAATGTGTTGGTGGTATGTTGTGTCATAATCAAAGCAGAGGTAATCCAGCACCACAGTGGTTGGTACCGAAGGAAACTTCGAAGTGTCCCTCTTGGAAATCTGTGAGCTTAGAGGATTCTTCCATAGGATTTTCTTCAAGCTCTAAAGCCAGAATCTCACCCCGTCATATTCTTTGTGTCCTTTAGATGTCAGATTTAAATCTAGAAGTAAGAAAAAACTTTGCATATACGTATTATTTAAAGTTTGCAATTATGCATGCTGTACAAAGCTCTCATTGTTGCTTGAAACCCACAAAGGTGTGGAGCATGATGCCATAAAAAATGTGTCTTTGAAAAGGGTAACGTACCATGACAGCTCCCCTGTCGGGGTACTGACAGGACTGTCATGGAGGTAAAGTCATCTTAGTGTCGATGGCTGTTCATGAGCCAGAATTCAATGAAGTATTTCATAAACAAAATGGCTAAATCTACTGTTGCAATATCGTGCAAACAAAAGGATAACTTATTCTAAGGCTATGTCTTTTATTGTTTTCTACCAAATCCAATAGCAAATCTCATGAAATTGCAGGAGTGATCTTTTTAATTGTTGGATATTCCATATTAATTACTCAGTCTGCCACCTTGAGCTCTCAATTTTGTTAATAATCATATTAAAAAGGCCGGCTCCATTGCCTTTCTTAAAGCAACATGATCAAAATGTTACATTGACAAAAAAAAAAAGTTTTTTTAAATACTTTATTTTATAAGATTAAATAAACAGTGAAACGGTGAAATAAGAACATACCCATCTTTATTACAATGCATGCCTTGTCCTTTGCTCTTAGTGCTTTAGAGTCAGTTTAGATTAGTCTTTTATGTATAGATGCCAAGTATCTTATGTGCCATAAAAGCAAAGTAATTGCCGAAATCCTCTGCTGACCGTCTAGAAATAAATTCGATCCGGCCACTCTGAATACAGAAGCTGTCAGCAAGTCATGTGCACCTGATTGCAGTGAGCATTCAGATGGGTAGTGACTGTGCTGCGGCTGTTGCTAGAGGCCACATGACACAGCAAGACATTTCCCACCCATTTGTTCATCTGCAGCTTTAAGGCATGGGTGGATGTTCGCACCAGAGCTACATAATCAGATAGCTGCTTGATTATATAGCAATATATGGAGTATTGGCTTAATTTAAAAGCAGAAAAGAAGTGATTTATATTTTGAGGGGTGTCTGTCAGACACCGTAACCACCTGAAGCCTTTTTTTGCTATCATCCTTATCTGAGGCAAACTTAAAATGCAGCTTCCTGACAGGATGTGCGTTTATTGCCTTAAGAGATGTCTGTCTGCGATTACAGCAAAAAGCATCAGTGGTTTTTATTAAATTAAATCTGGAATAGAAACACTTTTTTGCAGTTATTTAGTTTTTAGCATTGTTTAAAGCTCTACATCTAGAGGGGCTTTACATTTTCTTTGTAGGGTTATTACTACATAATAATTCACAGTTGACAATTAATGGGATGTAAGAACATTGCCCTAAACAGAAATACAAGATGGTAAATATACTTTTTTGTTACTGCTAGGATATTAAAGGAATTATTTGACCACTTTCAGATTTCTCTTATTTTTTTGCTTTTCTCTTTGACCTTGCATGTTTAAACCAATTAAAAAATTTTAGTACCTGTCATAGATGACCTGAGCAAGGCCGCAACTAACGTTTATTTTTATTTTTACGCTTTAATAATCAAATATTGAAAGGTTCATTAAAGAATTTTTTTACAGAATGAAACCAGGTGAAACTAAAACTTTTCCACAGTTCTGGATAGAGCAGATTGAAGGACAAACATGTTTTCTTTCTTAAAAGCAAAATATATTTTTATTTATTTTTACAGTTTTGATATAATAACGTCTCTAAATGGGTTGCTCTGTGAGCTAAAGACATCTTTTAAAGTCGCTATACTACAGTTCAATTCAGTTCAGTTTATTTGTATAGCAACAATTCACAACATCTCATTTCAAGGCACTTTACAATTTAACCAGATCTTATAGTCAAATTGATTCAAAGTTTTCTCTCTAAGGAAAACCAGCTGATTGCATCGACTCATTGACTTAAGACAGTCCCTCACACCAAGCATGTTTTGTTCGGTTAACGAATAATCAATTTGTAAATTACTTGGGATGATTATTTTAATAATAAATTAATCTGATTAATTGTTTTAGCCTTAAACCAGAGTAAATCCAAAATGTTGCATGGCCCCAGAAGAAAGCATTACTGACCTGTAAACCTAACTGGCCATGTAAACCTTTGACTACAGCTGCCTTCTTTAAGCCCATTCAGAATAAATGAGAATAAGAGCAGAGAGGACTGTGTTTTTTTTTTTAAGCCACATTGGATCAGTTTTTAAAATTTGGTTTCCAAAAAAAGGCAGATTCTAATGAGACTTTTTCTTTCCATAGTTTTAAGGCTGGGCATCATTTATATTCCAATTTTACCACATTATTACTTCTTTTCTACTTCCATTGACCAAATATTTTATTGGAGCACAGTTTTATTGCCTAACTTTGCATTTTTAATTTGTTTTTTTTTATTATGGAAACATTGACAGCAGAAAATTCCCAAACTTTAAATCAGACTAATGGTAGCTTTATTACCATCATCTTAGATGCTTGCAGTAGGGCTTTGCAAAATGGCTAAAA